TCAGTGCAGGACGGTCCAATCGTTCATCTTCTTCAGGAAGAGATCGAAGGATTCGCGGTTGAATTCTGCTGGTTGAAACTTTGCAAGTCGTAAAACGCAAATAGCTTCAAGGGATGAGCAGACGCGGTGGCGTTCATTTAAAATCAAACTTGCGCGGTAACGCGGCCATGTCGGAAGGCAAAAGTGTTTGTCCGCTCTGGGAAAACATCGTAAAAGGTAAGAAAGCAGAATCTGCGTTTAATCCAGTTTCGTTGGAAGTGTTATATTGCCTCTTTTCCTTCCTGTTTTTCCTGCGACAACATCGATACTAACGAATAGTTGTAAAGTTGACGTTCTTGAAAATAAGACCAGTACAAAGCGTCACGAACATAAAGAAATTATAAGAATTATCAAGAATGCCTTCAAGAAGACAGCTGCTTCTTCCCTTTTGTCTTTGTTCTCGTTGCATTTAGAGATCCGACAAGATAGTATTAACAAACGTCTCTCAAACGGTATTAACATTTATAAAAGGAAACAGCATTTTATCCAGCCGCCCACATTGTGTACTAAGAGTTTAATAAACGTGAATACAATACAAGCCGATATTCATTATTCGTTGAGTTGAGAATATTTCTTCAGTAATCTCCCGCAATATAATTTCAATAAATTTTCGGTTTTATCAATTTTAAAATATTTTCAAATTTCCGACTGAAAATGTTATTTCACAGTAATTGAAATTCTAACGAAGCACAGTAATTGCAAAATCGTTAAAATCATTATCAAACGGAAAGATATGAATACTAGGAGGATGCATGAACCATGAGAAATCACGATACGCACGATATGCAACGGCAATGAGTCAGATTATGCAGCTGCCTACTGGTCGGACCTGATAAGAGTGATGTATAGCATGATAGACACGTTAACGTGAATCGCTATAAATTATAATTTCATGATTTCCGCAATTAATTCTCGACGAAGGAATCGTGAACATCGAGATATCAAATCGTGCGCGTGGAATAGGTGGACAGTCGAAACTTCGGCCCAAAGTCAAAGACTTGTTACAGCCGTCATCTTACAAACTGGTGTCATCGACGGGGTTTCTGTTTTTTTTTATTTTTTGGTCTCATTTTGCATCGACCTTCGATGCATCATGTGTATACCTTCTCTTCAGAATTAACAACGTCGAACGCGCGACACAAAGGAAACGGGTCGCGGCAATTCGGTCAAATGTATTTTCCTCGACCTATTTTTTCGAAGCTTCGTGTTTTCGACTTCGAGATACGTGAATATCCACGTGGATGTTTTGATTGCTTGCAACCACGAGCGATCCGAAAAGACAAAGTTTCCAAAGGCGTATAATAGTAAACACCGCGAGTAAAACCTCAGCCCGAGCCTCACCCCACATTTTGACATTTTATCAGATACAAACGTATCCCAGTTTTACTACGGATCTATATATGTATCACTTTTCTGGGATTCGAAAAAGCTATACTCAAGCGAGCGTATATTCGAGATCTATCGACGATTGTGTGACAGAAAGATCCAAGCGTCGAAGATGAAAAATAATTATATCGATATATTCAATTCCCTCCGAAGAAAGAAAGAAAGTACGAGTACAAATTATGTACTATCCAAATACAAAACCCAGGGGAAATAAACAATCGTGTTGGCGGGAGTCTCCCAGGACGGCGATTATATGCGGCGGCGAGGATTAGGATCAGATTTACTCGGACCCTTTTGTGTAATCCCTCAAGGCTCGAAGTAATAAAGCGACGGTTGTGCACCTTGTATACCTTACGACGCCATATCGTTTTACTACTTCCAATAAATAGAGAACTCTAGAACACGAGTGACACTACATTCGGATTACCAGCTTCCAGGAACGGGAGATTCGCATGAGAGACTCTATATTCATCGCTTTATTAAATGTATCCGTAGAAAAACGGACCTCCATTACGTGATTGCCTCTATGAGAGCCTCGATTCATCCGGACCGTGATTAACCTGTTTGTCTATTCTACGCGATCAGCTACATTTGTCTCTCTTTGCTTATATAATCTCAAAATCAATTTAAAATTAATTAAAAAAGCTTTAATCTTAGAACGCTATTAATATGTAAATTTTACGTGCAAGAAAATATTAATCATAATTAATGTAACACATGATTTCCGTACGTTTCATATTTTTATAGACAAAATATTTATAATCTGGACTTTTATAAACACAAATGAACTAATTATTAATTCGAAAAGAAAGAAAGAAGAAATAAATTATTAAACGTAAAATTTACGTATCAATAGCAATATTGTATTATTCAACATCGATAGCAGCTAGGTTAACTAATTAGATAATTATGCTACTGAAATCTTTAACCTTAACTGATTCTTTTTGTTGCGATAATAATCTTAACGTTATACGTTGGAATTTAGCATGGAAATTTCAGTCCGCGATATTGCTTCTTCGTCAAAAGTTCTGTGCAAACATAGTCTAATCTATTCTGACTTTTATCCCCTTCTTTATCAAACGCGAAGAAATTTGTACAACGCAGCATTTTGTACGATCTCAGAAGATCCGACTTTCCTCGCGCTGCACTCCAACAGCGTAATTATGTTGACCTTCGAGATAAATCATCGTTGGATCTTACATGCCGCAAGCAGATGTAATACCTACTTGCGAAAAGTCAGTTTATCAGCAAGATTACACTATTACAGCGGAATTGGACCGCTAGATACCGGATATGTATATATATATATAGTATATAGCACAGAATGTCCTTCCCGAAATCCCAATTTCATTAGGGGAAGGGGGCTATAATCCGTGCGCAAAACGCCCATCGATATGCATGTAACTGTGTGCGCATAATCGTTTGGTATGAGATAGATCGACGAGGGTAAAACGCGAGAATACATGTCCGAATATGTCTGTGTCGAGGAGTTCATAAGCCTATTTTAAAATAATTCTTGAATTACTGCAACAGCTCAAAAAATATACAATTATTAAGCATTTAATTCCAAATATTATTACGAACATAAATTGTAATCTTTTTATCACGTCAATTACGATTGACAAACAGCTCCGCCGATTTTTCACGATTATTGAGTCGAAAAAAAATATCGTAGTCGATATAAGTAGGTAGGTAGTTGGCTAAAAATTTCTTACTTACGTATGTAATAACTATATTTATTTATATGATATTCTATCTTCTGCGATTCCACTGACAAATAATTTACTTGGCCATAATCCGACTTGCATTGTCCATCCACGGTGTATTACTTTAGGAGACAATCAAAAATTATATTAGTTTCACGATTTCCGACCGTATGTTGATTTCATTAAAGCACAAATATTTAATAAAAAAAAATGTTACTCGTTATTGAAAAAGCAGATATATCGATAAGTGACAATCATTTTTTTAGATTCGCTTTGTTAACGAAGCAATGCCATTTATTCTTGTTAAAGTGTGTAGCAAGAAATTATGTAACGCTGTGAGGCTCCGCTTTAATTTAAAATTATCCAGCGGACAGAAATGTCCAACAAAATTGTATATTTATTAGAAACGGAAACATGTTTTGCTTGTGATTTTAATTAAAACAAGTTCCCATTATTAATTAGAAGCAAAAGAAGAGAGAAGAAGAGAATGCTCTTCTCAGCTGAATTGGAGGCAACTGAATTTATTCGCAAGTTCTTATAAAATTATAATGTTTTTGTTATTTTCGTAATAATAAAAATGGTCCTTGAGTCATTATTAATTTCTCGATTGCGCGAGCGTATTGCACCCACATAAAAATGCATAGGTATTAGGTTGTTCGGAAAGTAATTTCGTTTTTTTTTTATGAAAATGAGAGATGATTTTCCGACCTAGGCGTTTCAAATGATCATGAACGGTCGAATTCGATAAATTTAATCTCCCAGCGATCTCACAAGTTATGTTATTCGCCAGTTTGCATCAATTAATGCCTTTATTGTGTCTTCATCAGCTTCAACTGGCCTTCCAGAACGTGGTGCATCTTCAACATCAAAATTGCCGGATCGAAATTTTGCAAACCAGTTTTGCCACTGGCGTTCTGTCAATACATCTTCTCCATACACATCGGATAATTTTTTTCTTGCTGAACAGCATTTTTACCTTTTCGTAAAAAAGTAAAATATGCCGAAAATGCTGCTTTTTACGTTCCATATTTGATAGGGCACCAGCCAAAAACTACTGCGTAGAATCAATCGAACTTTTTTCACAAGCAAGCCTTGCTATATCAGCTGTCAAAATATATAATGATTACGCGGCTTAAGTGTGAAGTTGGCTGTGAAAAAATACAATAAGTCCTCTGTGTTGGGAAAAAAACGAAATTACTTTCCGAACAACCTAATAGTTTTATTAAACGGCAAGTAATTATTAAATGTGTCATGTCAAACATTACATTTCCGATAAACGAAGTGTAACGTGCGATACATAAAATCGCTTTAATTATACAATTGCCAACACTTAATTATGTAATCTTGACGGCTCTGCGAAGTGGCGACTACGATTAGTTGCTATTAAAATAATGCACAATAATTTTTTCTAATAATATCGAGTTTCTAAATATCGAGTGGTTGATATTTTAACAATTAAATATAAATTGAAAGCTCAAAACGTTATTCTCAAAAATATTTTTATTGTAACTGCTTATCATTCTACGAAACTGTTGATACCGATTAGAAAATATCGAACATTTTTAGCAAGATATTAATGATGTGTCAGCAATCCAAAAATAAAAACTAATTCTTTGTGATGTCCTACTGCGGATATCTAAATACATCACACATACTCGTACATCGTGAACAACATGCAGTTTCGAACGGACTTTTGGGCATCCCTCATAAACGCAACTATCACGCCCTAACACATTTTCAAAATCACTAATCAAACCGCGCATTATTTTGATGTAACGTAAATTCGCGTAGATCCTCATCAATATTGATTTCCGTAGAATATTTCACTTCTTTGAAAAAGAGGTGATTTAACTCTGACGCAACACTCACCGATGCAGATGACGAGCGCCACGGCGAGAATCGGCGGGAAAGCCTTCGAAGACGAAAGCATGCTGCGGCCGGGATCTCAGCGAGAGTTGGAGGAACAAGAATAAACACCCACGGCAGAGATGAAGAGATTACTCGATCACTCTGAAATGTCCCACGCGGGGCCGAAAGTCGGACCGACGGTACCAACAGGAAGGGGCGGGACCGGAAGACGGTGGCCCGCACGGAAAACGGAGAACGAAAGGAAAAAGGCACTACGAGCTCGGAGTGATCACGCTCGTTAATCACTGATAACCCCGCGGATACGTCGTCCACACCCTCTATTAACACCAAGGATCGATCTCGATCCTCTATTGGATATGGATTTCGGACGCGAACAATTTTCCTTCTTCTTCTTCCAAAATATCCCTTAATAATATTGCCTTCGCGAAACGATTGGCGCGGCACATCCGCGCTTATCTTTCTTCTGCTTCTTGGCCCCCCCTCTCTATACCCCCGCGCGATTAATCGAACAGAGAACGTTCGCGGGTGGTACCCCGATTCGGTGGGCGAGGCAATCGGGGGGCAGGAGGGTGGCTTTTTACAGGGAGGCACCGTATACGTCTGTTGCGGCGCCAACGTCGGACTGACTTTCTCTACGTTACGGCCGCTCTGCAGCAGTGGCGGCGCGCCGCGCCGTTCCGCGCCGGACCGCGTCGTCGCGCGGGTACATCCCGCGTCACGTGTGCGTCCGTGGGCGTGCTCCGGATGCAGCGGGCCGCCGAGATGCCGAAGGAACTGGGGAACGCGCTGCTCGCGGGCCCCCCTGATGAAAATAAGAATCAAAGCGTAAATCGGATGTAATGGAAGAGTAACAGAAGCGTCGTTCGAACGAAACTTCTAGAAGGCGCGAAAATGGGAACAACGAAATGTAAAAGAAGCATTTACGCCTCTTTTACATTTTGATGTTTCAATTTTCGCTTCCTACGAGTTTCGTTTACGCTTCTATTACTCTCCTATTACATTCGACTTACGCTCTGATTTTTATTTTTACCAGGAGGCCGCTGGCAAAGTGAAGCGACCTTTACATGTACAATTTTATCCGTTGGTTTTGTCAAAAGACATTCAAGAAATTTAATTGTAATTCTATACATGTAAACAAATACGCGTTTCAAAGATAAGGGCGGGAGCATAGAGTCTTGCGTAACGCATAATCTATAATGCATAAGAAAATGAACCAATCCTTTATTTCCTTTCTTTTCGTGTAGCAAAAGATTCTGATCGGTTGATTTTCTTATGCTTTACGCATTATGTATTATACAAAGATCTGCGCTCCGGTTTAATGGGCCTTCTTCAATAAGTCATTACGTAATCTTTAAATCTTAAGTCATAAGAAAATGACCAATTAGAGCCGATTAGCCTTCTCATACTTGAGCGTGATTGATCGATTTCTTATGATTTAAGACTTAAAAGATAATGGGTTATTGTAGAAAACCTGTATAAGAGTTTTTATATTATATATATAAAAACACGAACAATAAGAACGCATATTTATGCACTCAAATAAAAGAACAGAGAGATTAGGAACTGTGTGTAAGAGTATAGAATTTTCTAAATTTGAAAAAATTCCATTCGCCAAGCAATAATAGTAAAACACAGGTTTTTACTTTTACACCACAGATTAGATCTCGCTCTTGAATGAGTGATCAAATAAAATGCGCGCATAACAATGTAAAGATAACAACTTTTTGGAGCAACTTGCATTCTTTACAATGATTTTATCTTTGCTCAAATCTACACTCTAGCACGAACGTAAGAGTATGTGATCTCTTGTCGTTTTTGAATGACGTTCTAAACTCACAGAATGATACTCAAGTCGGGAAATTAGCCCGACGTGTAGCACGATCCATTCTTATTATATTTGCAGAAACTTACGACGAAGAGAAACATAATGCCGTCTTCTTAATTTATCAACACTACTTGACCCTTGAAATATTTGGATTAATGTCGACTCTAGTGCGAATTAGGATGAATTATTCTCCTCGTAGCAATAATTTGTTACAACAATTTAGAACTGTTAAAACTATTAAAATCTTAATTTGCAATAATTTATAGTGTTGAAAGAATAAAGTGATTAATCAAATTGATTTATTTTTTCAGTAATTAGAGAGTAAACGTAATTTTTCCGAAAAAATCCGGTGTATGTTAATTTAAAAAAAAACGTATAAAAAATTATTAAATAATAATGCTTTGAACTTTATGATCAAGCTTTAGTTTAAGAAACTAAACGCTTATTTCAAGTTAACTTCAAATTTATACCATAACTTAATTGTTCTTTTATATTCTTTTATATTTTAAAATAAATAGAAAAGTTAAATGAGAAAAATGATATAACATAAAAGGTATAAAAGAAAATAGTATAAAATCCCTTTTTTTAAAACTCGACTTCTACTTCAATTTTGAAAATAACTATCTCAGAGTTTTAGTGAAATAAATGGTTTATAGATATTAGAGCTATCAAAACGTGAAAAACAAAAAAATTATAAGCCAGCTCAGAGAACATGTAATAAAAAAAATATTTGTATACGAATAAAATAATAGAAATTGAACATTGCATCAATATTCTGTCGTGATTTATCGAGATAGATAGTTATACTGCTCACTATTATTTCTTTCTGAACAGAAATTATCCGTTTCAATGAAATAATTCGTTACTTTTTATCGCGGAAATAATAAAGTTCATAGCATAATTAGAAAATTTATTTATTAAAAAAATAACAAAATAACAAAAATTTCTTAACTAAGAAAAACGCTTCTTAAGAAAAAAAACACTCAATATCCATTTCGTCCTTGCAGAAGTCTCGTTTGAGAAATTTTTGCTCGAGCAAAATTATATGACGTCATTGTACATATTATAGCACGAAATAAGGAAGATCGACAAGGAAAAACCAGGAAATGACTTTCTGGGTAAATTATATTCTTCTGTGAGAAGATATATTTCCTTGTCCTTCAAGTTGTAAACGCATTTGTGTTCCTCATCATGCACTGTAGTGCGAATACCGGTTTACATATCGAGCAACATTATTGCAGTATGTATTCGCGTCCGTAGTTATTGGGGAGTGTATACAATGTGTGCGCGTGCATATAATGCGGCAGCAACATAGTGCCATGTGGCATCAATCATGGGATTTCCTGCAGGTGAAAGGCCAGTCAGTTCCCTCTGCGTGAATTCGCACCTCGCATCTCTCTCTCTCTCTCTCTCTCTCTCTCATTCCTCCCTTGTCTCTTGTTTTCTAGATTTGGTTATCAAAATTCTCTATCAAAATTCGGCAGGCTTTGAGTCTTGAAAAAAAAAAAACGGAAATAGAAAATGGCAAGTATAACGGAAATAACAAGAAAGAGAGATTGAATTTTTATTCAGATATAGTATATTTGTGGGAAAAATAAAAAATTTTTGTATAAGAAAATTATCTATGGAAAGTTTATAAAAATAAAATATTATGTCTAAATAAAAAGTTAATCTATTGAATAATAGTTATTAAATTTAGAAAAAGATGATAATTTTTTATGCTGTCAAAATATATTTAAACAATAGATATATATAATTTTTATTACATTAATAGCATTTATTTATATATACGAACAATACAACGTGGACAAAGAGCGAACATGCGTATCACCTCTGCATTGAATATAACGTTACTTCGATTGCACGCATAGAACGTATAACATTCCATTGTAAAAAATATAATATTAAAAAATACAGTAGTGGCATTAATATTGCTTTAATGAGTGTTCAAAAGTTTTTCAAATTTTGGAATTCTATAAGCGATTTAGCTTACCTTATGTTTAATACTTGGAACATTAGAACGGCTATAAAAGGATCCCTCAGTCACAATATTCTAAAAAATATGGATTCAACGTCATACATTAATATAAATACTGATATGGTATTAAGATCATGTTGGTGTTAAATTATTTAAATCCATACTCATATTTTATCATTTTTTAGAGTGTGGTAATTAAAGGAAAACTATACCATTTTTTCTTTGTTAGTTTCAGCATTAGAAAAGCTAAATTACTCGTAAAATTCTACTTAAATCTACATCATATTGGTGTTTATGTCAACATCAACACTAGGATTATATAAACACCGACATAGTATAAAAACTATACCATTTTTTAAATCCATCTATGCTTTTTAAAGTATGATTAATATTAAACTATATAGTGGACAATGGATAACGATGTACTGCATATCCGTAGGTAAAATGTGAAATAAATGATGAACAAAGATATATGATTACGAGCTAAAAAATATAAAAGAAGTGGCTTTTATTTTTAAGCAAGTTATTAATTTAATACAAAAATGCAACGACTGCAATTTTATACTTTGATTGTTAATGTAGGAAATATTAAAATCTTTAAACAAAATTCAATAAATTATTTTTGCAATTCTTAAACATGTATATTAAATATTACAAGAAATAATGACACGTCTTCTTTAAAGCACAAAACGTCAGAAGCTCCCTCCGACTGTTCTGCGTAATTTCGTAACACGCTCACGCAGCACATAATTATATATAAATAGTTTATATGAATAAAAAGATAATGTTGTCAGGTACAAACACAGTATTAAATCTTTTATTTAGGTATAAAATTTGTGTACACATTAGGATTGGAATTAAATTTTATAAATATGTATATGATTGCAAAATTAAGACACCTCCCATATTCTATAAGCTCCACATTGTTTTATAGAACATTTACATTTTTTAAATATACTCGGTAAAATCATATATTAGTATGTTATTTTTACATTTGTTCGTAAACGGATATTTGATGCAACCGAGCAAAATATATATAAAAAAAAAGTTCATCACATTCGTTCAAAAGAGCAAAAGTCGCTTTTTCTTTGTAGATCGTGATGAAAACTTTATCAGAATATCAGGCTCTAATACATAGGTATAAGCGCTGAAGAATTATATTAACCTTCTTTTATTGATCAATAAAAGAAGATCAATATAATTCGTCAATGATTCGTTAACGAGCCATTGTTCAACATTTATTATTCATTGCATTCTATATATCGAAGTTCTATCTTTGTTTTACATCTAATAAACAACGAAAATAAAAGTAGCGCTAACGAAGATAAAAATAGCGTCTCCCCGAACACATCACAATACAAGAAAGATAGAAAAAAATTAAATTTCATATAACAAAATAAAAAATAAAATTTTGTCAGTAATAAAAAAAATTAAAACACGGCGGTTAAAAACATTTTCAATGAAGTCAACATATTTAAAAAATAAAAACAACAATCATTGTTAATATTTCTCAATTATCTTCTGCTATCTTTGTATTATATATAAATATAATACAAAGTTGAAAATAAAAAATTAATAAATAGGAACTGCATGTGTTTTCATCTCTTGATCGCGTCTGAACGGATTACTTGCAAGAGATTTGAAACTGATGGCAGCACGTTCTTGGTCTATTAGCAACCAGCAATGATATGTCGCAGCAAACCAGTCAGACCAGAATGAACAGACTGACTCCCTCTGTCGACTTCAGTTATGCTACCGACAGAGGCGGTGAAATCAATCACTGCAAAAGATGAAAGGCGGCACGCCAACGTTTGCAGATTTTACAACTGGTCCGTATAAGTGACGACACCTAGGCCCACCTACACAACATAATAATCAATATTGCAATGTTATCGGGAAAATTGAAGAAATCAATTCAAAAAATTTTTTTTCCAT